CCTGGGGCTTGATCCCAGGACCCTGAGATCATGACCTGAGCTGAAACCAAGAGTAAGACGCTTAACCGGCTGTGCCACCCAGGCATCCCTCTTAAGTGAATTTTTATCAATCTGACATTATATTGTGGCAGTTAAGTGGGAGGAGAGTGAGGTTCTAAAATCAGACTATGAAGTCTCAGTTCCCGTTTTGCAACATCAAAATTGTAGGCCTCTAAATATATATATAAGTGGGGCGCCTCGGTGGCTCAGTGGTTAAAGCCTCTGCCTTCGGCTCAGGTCATGATCTCAGGGTCCTGGGATCGAGTCCTGCATCGGGCTCTCTGCTCAGCAGGGAGCCTGCCTCCTCCTCCTGTCTCTCTCTGCCTGCCTCTCTGCCTACTTGTGATCTGTCTGTCAAATAAAAAAAAAAAATCTTTGAAAAAAAATTTTAAAAATAAATAAATAAATATATATATATATATATATATATATATATATATATATATATGTTATGTGAAAGGTCTTGCGTAAGTTACATAGCATCGCTGAGTTTCCATTTTCCTAATCCCTGAAAAACGGGAAGAATGATTCCTAGAAGACTGCTGGAGCAAGGCTCATTTAATTAAATGAGATAATGTATATACAGCACTTTGCATAGCACTAGGAATGTAGATAGCACACGGTAAGGTCAGCGATTATTAGGTATATTAGTGCTGAACACATCTATGAAAATACAAAAGTTTTGGAAGGGTGCTAAATCGTCACCCTGGAAGAACGAGACAGCGTTGCTGCAGCCCTCCACCTGAGACTTTGACCTTCCCTCCCCGCCCCCCCTTTCCCTCCTGGAGTCCATACTCTAGAATGTCTATAGCATTTGCTTCCTAAGAAACAAATCTGAGAACAGTGCCCCTGGGTCCTTGTTGTTTCAAAGAGAAGCCGTGCTCCTCCGCTGGACTTGCATGGCCTCTGACGCTGAGGTCCCCACCACTTTCGCTCCCGCCCCACGCCCTGCTAAGCAGGAAGGCCAACCTCTCCTCACCCTGCAGGCCCAGAACTCCAGCACCACCTCCCCTCTGGAGTGCTACCTCCCAGGCTCACTTGCTGAGAACAGCAGCTGCCTGTTAAACCTGCGAGGTGAGGAACCGAACAGCCCAGGTTAAATTCTGGTTCCTTCCTGTAACCTTGGGCAAGCTTCTTCACCGGTCCTTGCCTCAGGATTTGTATCTATGAGAGAAATAATATTAAATTCATCTGTTTGTTAACGAAAATTCTATGAAAGCCTGTCAGTACATAGCATAGGGAAAAGCCTGTCAGTACATAGCAAGAGCAGTCCTTGGCACATAGTGTTTATTTAATATATATGAGCTGTTAGCTATACTAATAACAATTATCATCATTGTCATCATCTTTATACCACCAGAATGTAAATTCTTTAAGTGTAGAGACTGACTATATCGTTCACTACCTGACACATAAAAGGGACTAAGTAAACAGCTGTTGACTAACACACAGCCCCCGCACGTGGTTGTTGTTGATGTGGCTTTCCTCAGCAGGCCATGAGCACCTGGGTTCTGTCTAATCGAACCTGCGTCGGTCTGCTCAATGGGCACAGAACAGCTGGTCCATAAACGTTTGATAATGAATATGTGAAGGACCCTCTGGGCTTGCATGTACATGTTCTCTCCCAGGAAAACATTGGCTTCAGGTCTAAGTTTATCCAAAATTCCTGCCCTGTGTTTGATGGTGACTCGTTTGCACTGGGTTTATATGTAATGATTGTGGGAAGTGCTTGAAAAGCAGGCAATGTGTTGGGGACCACATCCCAGGCTGTCGTCTTCCAGAGCAGGACAAAATCCCACCAGGAGCTCATGGCCCTGTGGTTCCCACTCCCCTCATGGCACCTTACCCCTTCCTGAGCCCCATGGCTGTCCCCTTCCTCCCCCAATCTCCTCCCACCCATCTCCTACCCCCATCAGCCCAGGAAAGCTGTGGCTTGTAAGGGGCAGACCCAGCCTGGCTGGAAGAAAGCCAGACATAGGTGTGTCTCAACCCAGGAAGTCTTCCTGGGGCAGAAGCCTCCTCTCTCCCCTTGCAGGCCAGGTCCCTCTCCCTCCCTGCTTCACAGGAAACCTTCTCCTTCCAGAAGGAAGTAAAAACTTCTCTCACAATAGCTGAGCCTTTCTGCTTCAGTTCCTCCATCTGAAGTGAAAAACAAAATCAGGAGCCGGGAGATTGAGCATAATGGGAATAAATGTAGTCTGTAGGTTTCACTAAATTATAACTCAATACTAAAAGACTGCTGTTTTATGAGCCTCTCAGTAACCAAAACTATTTATTATTCTAAGTGCAAGCAGATTTATGGTCTGCAACGCCCACCGTGTTTGCTGCGGTGAGGACGTGGAGGGAGGGTGAGGTACAGTGCAGAGTTTGACATGATAGCTTTTGTGCCGCTGCCGGCCCCGTGTCTGCATGTACCTCAGGTGTCCTTTGTAGCACCTTTGTCAGTGCAGGGGAGCAGCTGAGGTCGAGTGTCTCCATTTTGGGCTGGGGAATGCAGAAACTGAGGGGTTAAGAATTATCCCTGACTAACAGTAAGTTCGGGAAACACTCACGACTTCTCCACCGAGATCATCCCTCTCCACCGAAGTTCACACATCAGTGTTGTGGGTCATCTCTGGCATGGCTGTGTCCCTCCTTCGGAGTCTGTGCTCCGTCCCCACCCACGGCCCAGCCCTGCACCTGCGTTCGTGAGGCTGCGCCTCCCTCAGGGGCACTCTGGCTTCCCCAAGCCTTGGCTGGGTTGGACCAGGGTGATTAGCTTCCTGGCTTTTTGGTCAAAGACATTCCAGGGAGTAAGAGCTACCTTTAAACAGCTTCCAGGAGCCCCTGGCCGAGCACTCAGAGTGGGAGTGAGTCAAGTCCCAGTGCTGCCATTAACTGGCTACACTTCCCCGAGCGACCTCCCAATCTCGATGCTCCTCAGGATGGGCTGGGGGCGGTGGGGACAGCTCTGAGAATCTGATCATGTGCTCAGCGGTCTCCCCTGAAAACACAGGTCATGATTATCACGGTGTACTTTGGAGAGGGTCACAAGTTTCCACCCCCTTGAGCCCCTCTGTGTACCCCACAGGTCCACTGGCCCTGTAAGGCGAACTCGGGACACCAAAGTGGGGAGCCCCAAGGACAGATTTTTTAAAGAACAACTTCAGTAATTTATCTTCTTATTACAGATTGGTTTTTTTTTTAAGATTTTTTTTTAAAGAAAATTACTGTAAACCCACTACCTGCCAAACCACTGTTAGTATTTTAGTAAATATCCCTCAGTCTTTCTCTCTCACTCCTGACATTTATTAAATCCACTCATTATATCGGGAATGTAATTTAAATATTATTTGAGGGGCGCCTGCGTGGCTCAGTTGGTTAAGCATCTGCCCTCAGCTCAGGTCATGATCCCAGGGTGCTGGAATCGAGCCCCTCACTGGGCTCTCTGATCAGCAGGGAGTCTGCTTCTCCCTCTCCCTCTGCCTGCCGCTCTGCTTACTTGTGCTCTGTCAAATAAACAAATAAAAACTTTGGGGTGCCTGGGTGGCTCAGTGGGTTAAACCCTCTGCCTTCGGCCCAGGTTTGGTCCCAGGGTCCTGGGATCGAGCCCCGCATCGGGCTCTCTGCTCAGCAGGGAGTCTGCTTCCCTTCCTCTCTCTCTGCCTGCCTCTCTGCGTCCTTGTGATATCTGTCAATAAATAAAATCTTTTATAAATAAATAAATAAAATCTTTAAAAAATATTAGGTGGGCACGAATTTCATGGGGTACCAGGTGTTATACATAAACAATGAATCACTGAACACTACATCAAAAACTAATGACGTGTTATATGGTGACTAACATAACACAATTTAAAAAAATAATAAAAAAAATTATTTGAAAACAACATCTGCACAGTAACCAATGGCACCGTAGTTCTATAATGCATTATTAGCCATTCCTTAATTGAAAACGTTTAGTTGCAAACATACCTGGTAATTTTCGGGGGCTAAAAGTGGAATTTCCAACTTTGCTGAGAAAGAGTAACATGACAATTAATACCTATGACAATTTGCTCCTCAACCTGCTGCCCCCTCACCCCCCAAGAGTTGTGCCCATTTCCACTTCCAGCAGCTGGCAGCAAGGACAGGTGGAGGAGACTTAAATCTGCTTCCCAGAGCCCACAGCCCTACAACACCGACTGGGAGCGGCATCTCTGCTAAAAGTTAACATCCATCGCAGGCCACAGTGGCCCATGACTATGCTCAGGACCGGTCTCGGCACTTTCCAAATGGGCAAAATCTGTGTGGGGCGCCTGCCTCACCTCCTGGTCCCAACGTGACAGCCACTTGATCTGAGGGCAGTGTTGACTCAGCCACCGCTCGCCTTTTCTCCCAGGTTCTGTATCAGCTGCTCCCCTCTCCCTCCCTGGAATCCATGGGCTCTGTATCTCGCCTGTCACCAGGCTCTTGACTCTACCTCATGAATGGGTCAGGGCCTCTCCCTGAACGAGTCCATGGGAGCAGGCTGAACCCAACCCGGAGCAGGAGGGTCGTGAGCACAGCACGAGGGGTGGCAGGAATAGCAGGGTCAGGGAGTCGGAGGGTGTCCCCAGGCAGAGGGTGACGGTGCCGGAGGCGAGGAGCCGTGGAGCCGTCAGAGGCCCCCTCAGCGTCCAGTTGCCTGGGCAAGCGCCCAGTCTGGCTCTTGCAGGGTTGGGCCCCCAGCACGTTGTCCCACGGCACGTTGTCCCACGAGAAGAGCGGAGCCTTCTGAAAAGACACATCACGTCTCTCGAGAATTGGCTGCATGGAGCGTGCTGCCCAGAACGCTGGCAGTGTCAGCCACATGTTTGGCGAACCGTGCTCTTCTCTGGGCCTCAGATCGGCATATTGGTGATGGGGAGGGTGGGGAGGGTGGGGAGGGGGAGGCTCCAGTTGTCACTGGTCACACACGTGGCCTGCCCCACCGCTGACCATCTTCTTTCTTGGCCCCACAGTCGGACGGCTCCATCCTGGCCATCGCCCTGCTGATCCTGTTCCTGCTCCTGGCCCTGGCTCTCCTCTGGTGGTTCTGGCCTCTCTGTTGCACCGTGGTAAGTGCCCCAAGCTCATTCTCCTCACTTCAGGCCTCCCACAGTTAATGGGATGGTGAGGAGGAGAAGTTGTCCAAAAAACAAACAAACAAACAAAAAAACCCTTTAAAGATTAAGGGAAATTTTGCATTATTTATACAAAGTTGGCATAAACTGACATTGCTCAGTGGAACAAGTCATTCGGAATCAGTATGAATTAGGGAGTGAGATTTAGCCTTTAGGTCGGGCAGCCGAGGGGGCTGCCCATCTTCCCGTGCTTGGAGGGGCCCACAGAATACTGTAAGTGATGAGTGTTATTTGACGTGTATCACACACGTGCGTGCACACACATACATGCGTGTTGAGTTGCACAACTGAACTCTTTCAAGGAAGGCCACGCTGGCCTCAGCAGCTGGTCTGCCCAACGGAGAGTGTGCCTGTGGCCTATTTTTACCAAGCATGAGTGGCACCCGCCTTTGTTTTACTATTTTTAGCTAACATTTATAGGACACCTCTACCGTGTGCCCCGCACTCGTCTAAGCACTTCAGCTACAAGATCAATAAAAATCTGTCTCCTCCCTCTCATCGCCATCAGGAGCCACCACATGGCTCTGGCCAATGTCTCCCCAGGGAGCTTCGGGCACCTGCTGCACCCAGATGAAATGTGCCTCTTTGTCAATTTGCGTTCCTTGGCCGCTAGGCTAGGTAAAGTCCAAACAAAGTCCTATCCAACTGGGGAAAAAGAAATCACTTTCATGTGCCTACTTCCAGCCCACACCCTGCCTGTCTGCAAATCAGAGCATGGGCGGTAAAGCCACAGTGAGTTTGAAGTGACCGCTCTTCTGCTGCCCAGCATCTTCCATTCCCTGTGTCTTAGTTCTTCCATGCAGAGTCCCGCAGGGGAGAGAGTGAGCCTCTCCAGGCAAGAACTTGTCTTCATTTTCTCTCTGAGCATTGAGTCCACAGTGTGAGGGAACTCATGTGCAACTGAGCTCAGTGAGGGCCAGAAGCTCCTAGAGCACTGGTCAAGAAAAAGTGGGGAGAGGGCTTCCAATGATATTTTGAAGAGGTGGTAAAGGAAGGAGATGAGAAGCTTGACCAGGAGTGGATCCCTGTGGCAGGGACTTCTGGAAAGAAAAGAGGCTCTTGCACCAGCAGAGGCCCTGGGTGTTGAGGGGAAGGGACAACCTGCAGTGGATTAGAACATGTGGGAGGCAGGGGTGGGGTACCCAGGACAGGCACAAGCCTCGGGTCAGCTAGCGCAAGCCAGAACGGACCGATTCACCCAGACTCCACACGCATTCTTCTGATAGTAGCCCCAAAAGTTAAATAGTGTTTTCAGTACTTAAGGCTGCACAACCATTTTGAGGGTTAAAAAAGAACATGAGTCAGCCAAGGTGTTTTCCATGGTGATTCAGAAACAAGCACATTTTCAAGTCTGAAATTCTGAGTGGAGAGGCGGTGGGAGGGGACCAACAAACCTTTGCAGCCAGCTAGCTCTTAAAGAAAGGGGTGGCCAGGGGTGGTGGTAATGGTGGCGACTGGCTGGCTGTGAACAACAGGGTTCCTATTGTAGCAGGTGTCACCCCAGTCCCCTTCATTCTCAAAAACACCTAATCCTCAGTAAGGACAGCTAGGAATGGTAGTACAGCTAGCAGTGCTCCATCAGGTACTAGCTGCGTGATCTTGGGCAAGTTACCTCACCTCTCTGTACTTCAGTTTCCTCAGTTGTATAATGAGGAGCATAAGAGTACTGGCCTCAGGGGCAGATGGCGAAGCTTGAAAGAGTTCATGGATATACTGCTTAGAGCAGTACCCTGCACCCAGGAAATGCTGTGCAGTGTTAGCAATATTAAAGAACATTTACTCGGGGCGCCTGGGTGGCTCACTGGGTTAAAGCCTCTGCCTTCGGCTCAGGTCATGATCCCAGGGTCCTGGGATCGAGCCCTGCGTCAGGCTTTCTGCTCATCGGGGAGCCTGCTTCCTCCTCTCTCTCTGCCTGCCTCTCTGCCTACTTGTGATCTCTCTCTGTCAAATAAATAAATAAAATCTTTAAAGAACATTCACTATAATAGGGATGTAATCCTGTATTTCCATAGCATTCCATTTGTATTGGTGGGAAATGTCTCTTCTTTCTAGTTTTATTGAGATATGACTGACATACAACATTGTCTAAGTTTAAGGTATACAACATAATGATTTGACACATGTATCTATTGCAAAATGTTTACATACTAAGTTTGATTAACATCCACCATCTCAGAGTTAAAAATTTTTTTCCTTGTGATAAGAACTTTTAAGATTTACTCTCTTAGCAGTTCTTAGCAACTATCAAATATACCATACAGTATTCTTAATAATGGTCACCCTCCTGTCTAGTAACATCTCCCTTCGCCCAATTCCCCCTCCTCCCACACTTCCAGTCCCACCTCTGGCAACCACAGATATGATCTGTTTCTAGGAGTTGGGTTTTTTCCCCTTAAGATTTTATTTATTTATTTGACAGAGAGAGAGGGAACACAAGCAAGGGGAGTGGGAGAGGGAGAAGCAGGTTTCCCACTGAGCAGGGAGTCCAGTGCCGGGCACGATCCCAGGAGCCCAGGATCATGACCTGAGCCAAAGGCAGAGGCTTAAACGACTGAGCCACCCAGGTGCCCCGGTTTTTTTGTTTGTTAGTTTTTGTTTTTTTTTAGATTTCATATGTAAGTGACATCACACAGTACTTGTCTTTCTTCATTTGACTTAATTTGCTTAGCATAATGCCTTAGGGTGTGTCCAGGTTGTTGCGAATGGCAGGAGTGCCTTCTTTTTATGGCTGAATAATATTCCATTGTATATGGGTACTACAGTTTCTTTATCCATTCATCTGTCGATGGACGCTTGGGTTGTTTCCATGTCTTAGCTATTGTAAGCAATTTTGCAATGAACATGCAGGGGCAGAGGCTTCTTCAGGATCATGATTTTATTTCCTTTGGATATCTACCCAGAAGTGGGACTGCTGGATCATATGGTAGTTCTATTTTTAATTTTTCACGGAACCTCCGTGCTCCAATTTACATTCCCACCAGCCGTGCAGAAGGGTTCCCTTTACTCCACATCCTCGCCAGTGTCTGTTATCTTTTGTCTTTTGATGATAACCGACCCTTCTAACTGATGTGAGGTGATATTTCATTGCGGTTTTAATTTCCAAGGAAATGTCTCTGAACTAATGTCTTTCATTACTGGAAGCAGTGTCACCCAAGGCCAGATTGTTTTGCAACATTCAAAATATTTTTCAATGAATTTATCTGCTTAAGTCCATGTTGTTTTGGAAGGTGGCCAAAATGTGTTAGTGTGATCTGATTTTGTAAGTCCCAAAGGATTTCTTTACAAGGGAAGATCTTGGAGATTAATTTTCCTGTTTATGATGTCTATAAAAACTGCCCTCATCCCCATTTCTGAAAGCTGGCCAGAGCTCTGATGCTTGGTATGCCCCCAAAAACTACTTGTTGACCACTGGCTTTCTTGAAGAGTGATGATGTCTGAGGAGACAGGACAAAGTCATGTGTTTTCTAAAGGGAGTACACAGGAAGGACGGCAAACATCACCTCCCCGCCTGCCCCCTGCCCCTATCCCAGGATCCTGGTTCCAAGGATGCAGGACATTTCTCTCCCTTGAGGGACAGCACCCCTACCCAAGTTTCTGGGACTGGGAGAGGACATCCTCAGGAATGATGGTCCTGAAACTTTCTTCTGTTATTCCCCCTGCCCTGCCGCAAGTGTAGGAGATGCCCCATGACCTGGTACTAAAGCTACATCGTGATGATGGGAAACAGCCAGGGAGCAGCAGGGTCTCAGGAAAAGTAGAGTACAAGAGGCTTGTCTTTGCTGCAAAGTTTTCTCCAGGAGTGATGTACAAAATATTTAACAACCGAATAAGGCACCCCAACTGAGCCAGATATTAACCCTTTAGTGGCTGGCTATGAGGCAGGGGTTGGGGGGGCAGTCCACAAAATCCTGGGGTAGAAGGGCAAGTTGCTATTTGCTAATCATAAAAAGCATTTTAAAACATAATAACCAGCATGACCAGACCAGACGTAGTATTTACTATCAGGCCTGCCCTCTGCCTCAGCATCCTTTCTTCCTGCTGGCCCTGTCTGGAAGAAGACATGTGAAAAGTGACCAGTGCTCCTCGTTGCATTTTGCCTTTCCTACCCCACTCCCATCTGGGCTCTTAACTTCCAGCTAGATGGAACCTGGGGTAACTTACTGCCCGCACTGCAGAGTAGAATCTATCAATCATGACTGATGCAGAGAGAGAGAAGTCATTGGCCAGATCCAGGATCAAAACCTTTTAGTGTTCCCCAGCCTGGCTCTCAGGATCCCTGGGTAAAATTTTGGTTTCTAAGATTCCTACATGTATTCATGGGCACAAAAATACCCACACTGAGGGAGAGCCAGGCACCGGCCTGTGCATGCCAGACTTATTTGCATTTTTGAAAAGGGAAATCAAGGGTCAGTATTTTACCAGAAAGAAAGAAAGCCCTGTCTCAGTCCCACAAGGGGCATCACGATACCCCGTAAGTTGTGCACTGGCTTTTCCATCTACTCATAAGTTTGGTCCAATATTATTGAAATCTCTCAACTGAACTCAAAAAAGAAGATTAGGAAATGAAAATAAGAAGAGGATCATGGGGGAAAAAAAGAGGTGAAATATATTAGAAGAGTAAATGTTTTGAATGGCTTGAATGTGTAGAGAGAAAAGGCAACAATGAATCAGTGATAGCACTAAACTATTCTAGAAAATGCAGGCAGTCCTGCATTTCATAAATTACATGGATAGTACATGTAATGTTGTAAATGTATCAAACTGCATAACAAAAGACATTTATATCCACTTATTAAATAAAATCATAGAAATGTGCCCTTGTTTTGGGGAGGTTAGTAGTGTAACAAGAACTCCAAGTAAAAAGATCTTGTCATATTTTCCCAGATGAAAAAATTCTGGAGCTTGGTTGCATAGCAACATGAACTCGACACTAC